CCGATGCCATGGACCGGGCAGCAAGGCGCTGCCGAGAGGCGAACTTGGTGATTCCGGACGAGATCATGATCTACTTCTTCTTCGAGCACGCGCAGCTGTCGACGGAGCGGCAAGCGAACCTCCTCCTCCGGACATCTGGCGAGTACGATTGGAAGAAGATGAAGCAGGCGGTGGAGCTCTTGTACCAGAACGTGGTGGTGAAAAGCGGAGCTCCTGGCCGCAACGATCCGGGCCACCGTGGGCGACCCAGGGGTACACACGAGACTCATCGTGAAGAGTGGGACCTTTGGGTAAGGACTCCGGATTGGAACGCCACCGAGGACCAGCTCAACAACTTCCTCTACGACTACGACCCCGTGGAGAACCTGGCCGAGTGTGACCTGGCGAGCGACCTGCCGGAGGACGTCGCAAGGGAGCTCCACACGTGCTTCCAGACCCACCGGGAGAATAGACAGCGGCTGGCGAAGGCGGTTCAGGCTCGTGGGTTCTACGTTGGCGGCTCTTCGAAGGGCAAATCCAAAGGGTCAAAGGGCGCCTCTAAGGGCAAGGGCAAGTCCAAGGGCAAGAAGGGGTCCGGAAAGGCCCGTGGGATGTCGTTGGACGAACTCAAGGCCAAGACGACTTGTGCAGCATGTGGCCAAGTCGGCCATTGGCGTGGGGATCCTCAGTGCCGGGCTAAGTCGGCCAATGAGGCTTCCCGAGCTGGCGCCGACGACCTCGAGGGCGACGCTGACGATTGGTACGGCCAGGAGGGCGACTACACGCCAGAGCAATGGGCTTCTTGGGAAGCGGAGCGCTATGGGTACGAGGATCGCTATACCTACGTGGCTTCGAGACCCTCTCCAACTTCGACCTCAGCACCTTCGGCGGCCACGACCTCGGGCACTACCGGCGAGACGCAGTCGACCGAGACGCTCGACGCAGAGGCTCGGGCGGTCGCGAGGGGCATCAACCGTGTTCGTGGTCGCAGCCAAGGCTGATGGCCCCGGCACGAACCTCCGCTCGGACCATTTCCTTGTGCAGGCGGAGGCCGTGAA